TGCAGAAGTATAAACTTGTTAGATAGAACACAGGGCAATTTCCCGATTCTCAGTTGTGCATTGATCGAGATGTTTTAAATGGCGCTAAAAATCTGCTCAGCAGGAAAAGACAGAAAAATATCCACGGCTCAAAGACGAAACCAAAAATCTGGCAAGTCGGGGGAGACAAATTGGGCATGGAAGTTATTCCGAGCTTACCATGCCGTGAAAATCTTCCACTTTGAAATCAACAATATTTTTGTTGACGGCAGATAGCTTTAGCATCTAGAAATAAATCCTGGAGTCGAGCCAGGCAGTAAATACAGCAATCAGTAATTTCGTCTAAGCATTCAGGAAAGATTATATGGTTTATGCACCGAAAATATATCATAAGTTGCTTTGAAATTGTAACAATTAAACACAAAACATCCATTGGTGCCCGACAAAAGCACCCAGTAGAGAATTTTAGCTCCTGTACTGGAAAGAACTAATAACAGGTTGGAAACCGCTTTTGGCGGTGGATCCGGGTGGAAAAGACGCTGAAAAAACAATATTTTTACCTGATTGAATAACATCCAAAAGGCTGGAACCGAAGGAAGTTTTCTTGGTCTTGAGAGAATCGAACAAGTCCTTATTGAGGTATTTCTTCAGAAGAGAGTTAGAAGGAGTACTCTCGAGTTTCTTGAAACCAGTTTCGAGCTTCTCAAGGACTGCGGCGTCAACCATGGCTTCTTTTCTGAAAAGTGAATAAAATCTCGATAAATGAAAATTGGAGTAATAATAAGTATTTTGCTTTGGTTTGATAAACGACCATTTGGGTGAAATAAAGCGGAGAATCTGCACAAAATCAATTTTATGCAGCTCAGGAGTTGAAACAGCAAAGCCAATTATATATATTGTTGATCCTTCGCTCTAGTTTGTTGGAAATTATTAGTGGCTTGCTTGGAGTGGAGATTTGCTTCGGAATGGAGTTTCAAAAAGTGAAATTTGCAGCATGAACAATGTTGCAACATGTATTGATTTGTGGTCCACACCCAAAAATATTACATTAAAACGCCCTGTAAGGGTGAAACTGAAACTTTAAATAGGCGATGACGGGAAACCAGTATTTGAAAATAAATATGGAAAATGTATTAGCAAAAGTTTTTTTGGGAAGTAAAAGATTGCATATTTAGAACTAAAAACGCACAAAAACGAAAACCACACAAAATAACCGCTCACTATGATGAACAAAAAACAAAAATCTAACAACCAAATCTAGTGCACACAATACAAAAAAAATTAAATACGTCAATGGAGGTAATAGAATTTACAAGTACATATAGATATTATTCAAGAGAAATGTAGTTTCGCTTGAAATCCATGCTATCGCTATATAGATAATTAGTTTGAACGTTGAACATTAGTTAATCTTTAAGTGGGTAAATGGGGACGGGATATTTTTGAAAATGTATACCGAAAAAAGCAGTCAAAATGCATACTTAATGTATATAGCCAAGAGACAGGTAACACAACATATAGAGAAGCTTCCACATAATTCCAGGCGCGTCCCATGGACATCGTGCTATTGACCCATGCATGAGACATCAACAGGAATTGTACAAACCCAGTATCATCCTCTTTTTTTGGCTCTTTAGCAGTATTTTCCTTCGAAGCGCACCCACCCATTCTTGCAAATCTAACTAGCTATATGACAAACACTGAAATAACACTATAACTAAGTGGATGGAACAACTATCCGGCATGGGGTTGTGACGACGCCCTTTAGTCTAAGGCGCTCGGGTTTAAAAACACCCTGCAACCACCTAAACCCGACTTTCGTTTGACTGAATCGAAGTTTCACAAACAGGGCGCAGTTTTGTAGAAATCGATAGACGCATATTCCGCGCGTGTCACCAACCAATAGAATTGCGTGGCTCTAACAACTGTTCCCACTATGCCACCCTTAGTCATCCACACTCCACACCCCTCGTTTACAACTTCCCTGTTCGTCCACCAAATATCACCGAATCAATTAAATGAATATTAATTAACAACTTTTCCAGTCAACCCCGCACCACTCTCGCCCATTCAATGTTCATACCAACTTTGAGTACCAGCTTTTTACTCTGTTTGCTCTTTTTTATCTCAACTCAGAGGCGGAGGTTTTGCTCAACACGTCCTCATAAAGATAACACTAATTACTTAATAATGGATAAAACTTATCACTTCAACATATTTTACTAAATATTTTTATTGCCATTTTTTACGGCACTTATCGAGAAACGCTTAACTAATGAAATTTAATCCCAATATGTACTTCAATCCACCTTATATCAATTAATCTCTCAGAAACTCAATCTGCTCAAATCTTTCGCTTACGAACCACTACGATTAAGTAAGGAAATTGCCTCTAAAAAGCCATTCATAAAAACGATATGAGAACCATGCTCAATCCAGTTATGCACACAATATTATCATAATTAATTGCGGATGATGGCAAGAATGAGTTGCTAAGAAAAGTGCGCTTCCATTTAGGTACTTTCATGATAGGAATTAAACTGGTTTTGGGGCTTATCGGTGGTTCATCGGTATTTCTACCTGAGATTTTGCTTGCATCTGCCCAGGAAACCCATTCAGCATCCAGCTCGTGATTTGAAATATTTCCGAACATTTCATTATGTTTTTGCAATCTTCATTTCTTCAAACACCGCTAATCCATGCGAAAACCACGATTTATCTGATTACTGTTAAGAAAAACCGAAGAGATTGTGAAAGTTCCTGATCCTCACCATTCATAATAGTTCGGCCAGGCATACAATAATTAATGAATGTAGATACATTTGCGTTTACCAGACTGTAGCGACTATTAATATTCCGATATTTACTTAAGTTTTCATTAAATCGTGCAATGAGGTTGAAATTAGGTTCAATATATAGATGATGAGGCAATTTGCACGGGCACTTTGCGATATGAGATGCTAATCGCGCATAAATCTGCTAATAAAACCAAGCAAAAATCTCCAAGATCATCAGTTTCATGTGTAGACGCTGTAAAAGGTGTAATACTAATTACCTCATATCGATGCTCCAATAAAACCTTAGATTATTAGGTGTATTAAAATTGATAAACATTTATGGGTTTATGTAAGAAATATTTTACGGATATTTAGATTCTGTTTCAATTTTGAGCACTAGTGCACCCATGACCTTATCTACTTGTGGCTTGCTACTTGCAGTTAAAGCACCCTATTTCCCTAAAACTTAACACAATAAACTTGGGAGAAAAGGGGAATTGATCGAAGTACAAAAACCCCACTGCCATTTTTCCAAGTTATAGGGGGTTTTAACATTAAACAACATATAATAAACTGATCGAATAAATTTCCTTGACTGGAACCCTTATGTGAGGGCGCAGAGTAATGCAATAAGAATTTGCAAGTATAAATTGATTATAAAGCCATTATCGATGTGGGGCCGGCTCACCCTCTTTATGGTGTTAACTTACGAGAGAAATCAATAGGGGCTACTGCAAGCTACAGTCATAGGATAAGGTCAGTTTAAGTGAATTTAATATCATGTTAACATTGAAATGTCCAGTTTAATTTGCTGGTAGACACGCGATACACCAGGTTTTTTTCACATTGATCGCTCAATGTGAAAAAGGTTTAGACTTTAGTCGCACGCAATGGACTGTTTTAGTAATAAAACTTGTTATGTCGGTACCACATGTGCTCAAAAACATGATCTGTTAACAGAGAGAAACAAAAAGACAGTTAGTTAAATAATGGAAATATTCTCACTAGAAGCCGGGCATTTTTTGGAAAATTAGTAGAACTACAACTCATCTGATGGACTATGTCTATTTTTAAACAACTATAAATAGAAGAAGGTGTATACTGTATAATAAAGCTTATAGTTCGGTTACCCCAGCAATTACAGCTGTCTCAAGGCGACTTTCTAAAAATAAGTTTCGAAGAAGTCAGAAGAAGACGTTCAGGTCGTCATTATTCAGCACTACAACTAGATCTTGTCTGCATTAAAAATAAAATGAAAAACTGTTTGCAGTGTGTATAAACCATGACATTGTAAGCCAATCAGATGTAAATTCCTGCGGAAATTATTAGTCATGCTGGTTAAACCATTAACTATTACAAAGTCATTTGAGAAATATTCAACAAAAAGTCGAGTGGGTTTGAAAAATTAATTACATACCTGGACTAAAGTTGTGAAGGAAAAGTTGCTATAGATTAATTTCGAAAATAATACACATCGCTCAATTTTCGACCTGCTGTTTACAGTTTAGAGCTTTAGGTGTTAAGCGAGTGCAACGTTTTAAAGCAGAAGTGTGAAATATGTTGTGTATTCTTAAATTAGCATTTTAAACAATCCAGTTTGACATCATTTATTTGCCAGTGTGTCTGTGTTTGCTTTTTTCGTCTATTCAGTGGCGGCTGCTGCACAAAATGAGCGCTGCAGCACTGCAGAGCTCGTTTACAGTGAAATACTTGATCTAAATTGATCTAAATTCTCCTCTCACTCTAAAGGAGCTCTGAAGCACTGCAGCGCTTATGCAGAAGCCGCGAATGCGTCTAGATAATTCAATTAAATTAATTAGACTCAGGTTAAGAACGCAACACTTTAGCAAATTAAGAGAATCCACAAAATTACACAAATTGTGACATTTTTAAAAAATCTGCAGAGGATTTATTTCTTCTGAAAAATTATTAGGCAATCAAGTAATAAATAAATTGATTCATAATTCATACTTTAAGAAAAAATCTTCAACCAAGCCCAGATCAAATTGAATGAAAGAAACTGGGAATAAACGTTTATAAGTCGATTCCAAATTTTCAGTCTGAATAAATATTTCACTGGACTGGTACAGAAATGCACACAAGCAAAGCAAAATTTCTGGAAAATGCTGTTAACAATTCTCTGCATAATCAGAGCAAAATCGATCAAGGTTGAAAAATAGTTTTCTAAATTCTCTGAGTAAATTAAACATCACTAAAAAATAATTTAGTGCGCTTCAAAATAAAATAAAAAGCATGTACTGAAGGGAATGGTACTGCTGTAAAAGATTTAAAAAAATGACTGTTTAATGGAAAAATTAGCAAATTGCATGGAAATATACCGAGTTAAACGTAGCCACTTCCAGGTAATAATGGTTAGTAACAAATTTCCTAATATTAAGCGGAAAACCCATTGTGCATCTAAAGTGCTGCGTTATTAAAAAACCATAAAGTTTATGAACCAAGGTGAATGATTTACCGTTAAATCATCTATGGACTGATCACTTGTAAAATCAGTCACGTAGGCACCGGCATTGCATTGTATTTTTCTTTGATAAAATACCTATACAGCATTTCTCGATTAGTGATTAAACAAGCGAATCCTAACGTTATTTAGATATGTTAAGATTAACAAATTTAGTGACTCACTAATAAAATTCGAAATAATGTTTATTAAATAATTGGTGCATATATTAGGATTATTGTCGGTAATGTGTCTCGTCCGCCTCCTCCAGCTGTAAGCGCAGTTTACTAGTTCAGTTTCACAAGTTACGTAAGGGAAATTCGATTTTCCAAGTTCAAATGTTGCATTCGCGCGAAAAATTCATTAAAACCATCGCAAATTGGTGCACTGCATCGATTCATTCAAATTCAATTGAAACATTGAAAAAGTTGAACCGGCAAATCGAATGAAAGGAAAAAGACGTTAAATGAAAGCAACGAATTAAAAAAAATTACGATAAATCAAGCCAATGTTACTTACAGGTTTCGGCAAAGCAAAGCGAAAAATCTATTGAATATGCGGGAAATATCGATGAAATAAAATAGCCCGTACCTTGGAGAATTCCGTTAAACTATACCAGAAACACACTCCACTCGGAATGAACCCACTGTGACTCTGAAGGAGCATTCTCTGTAGATTAGCTCCTGGTGCTAACCCCACTCTACCCTATGACGTCAGATGCAATTCACCAATCGTCAATTTTTACGTTTCCTCACTGAAATTTTCAAATGGGTTCGAATTTTTCGCTCGCATTTCAGAGCATAGAGGAAATTATTTTTAATCGCCGGTCCCACGACTGGGAAATCTATACCATCAGCAGTGTCAAGAATCCAAAGTTTCATTGTTATCTAAATATCTATTTAAGTTGGAATTTACTGCTCAATCCTCATCTAGATTAATTGCATTTTGTATGTAAAGGTTACAGTTTCCAGCCATTCACTCACGTGACACAGACCCATTTTTTTTGGTAGTTTACTGACTGATTCGCCGATTTTTACAATCCACTATAAATAATCGAATGTTATCAAAAGAGATAGACTTTCGAGGCCATTCCTTGAAACAAGTGGGTTTTTCGGGTTTTTAGGCCGTCGTTCGGTAGAATTTCTTCTTGACGTTTCGCAAGCACGTGTGGCTTGCATCTTCAGAAGTGGTTTGCTTGAACGCTTACA